TGAACACTAACCTGCGCTCTCATTCACACATTTTACGATTATTTCGTTGTGTTTAGTGCTTGTGGGACTGTGAAATAAGCTGCCATGGGCCCAAAGGAAACTTGCTAGTGGTACCCCTGTGGTAAAGAAAGTGAGAAACACCATAGATGTGAAGAAGGAAATAATACAGAAGTATGAGAGTGGTGTGAGACTTAGAGCTTGCCAGGATGTAGGGGAAAAAAACAAGTCGACCATCAGTTCTATCCTGTCAAAGAAAGAACAAATCAAGGAAGCTGATGTTGTGAAAGGTGTTAATATGCTGACCAAAAAAGACCACAGATAGTTGAAGAGGTTGAGAAGTTGTTGCTGGTGTGGATCAAGGATAAAGAGATTGCAGGTGATAGTGTTTCAGAGACGATTATTTGCGAAAAGGCAAGGAAGTTGCATGCGATCTGGTACAGAAAACTCCTGGAACCAGTGCTGATAGTGAATTTAAGGCCAGCAGAGGCTGGTTTGACAGATTTAAGAAGCGTAGTGGCATACACAATGTTGTAAGACATGGTGAGGCAGCCAGTTCAGACAAATGGGCGGCTGAGAAGTTTGTACAGGAGTTTAAGGGGTACATAGACAGTGAAGAATTCAAACCTGAACAAGTGAAACAAGCCATCTTTGCAAACAAGTTCAGTGACAGAACCATGTCCCATTTTAGGGAAATGTTAAAGAGGCGCCAGAAACAGAGGACTGTGGATAGTTATTTTGTGAGAAAGGGGTCCAGTGACTCTCAAGCTGGTCCTAGTGGCATTAAAAGACAGAGAAGGGAAGTAACCCCAGAGAGGGCTTTACCTGAAGTCCTCATGGAGGGGGATTCTCCTTCCAAACACTAACCCCAACTCCCTCTCTCCTCCTCCCTATCTTCCAGATGCCATAACCAGTCTTCAATAAAGGTAAGTAAAAATGTTATTTTATTTGTGTTACTATACATAATTAAAAACTATAGTATTTGTTTTATGTAAAACTGTAATTAATCTCTATAAAATGTATTTTTCGTGTGAATATTTTTGGGTTTCTGGAATGGATTTAATTGTATTTCCATTATTTCTTATGGGAAATATTGCTTCGAATTTCAGACTTTTCGAATTTAGAACTAGCTCCTGGAACGGATTAAGTTCGATTTTTGAGGTTCCACTGTAGTTGTATTTAAATTAATTCTTATGGGAAATATTGCTTTCTCTTTAGGCCGTTTCGAGTTTAGGCCTAGCTCCTGGAACGGATTATGGCCAAAACTTGGGGTTCCACCGTACTTCATAAACTGTGACCAATCATTACTGGTTATATTTTATTATCTGAGAAATAGCTAGGTAAATACAGCCTCTCCTCATTTAGTGATATACTCGTTTACTGACGACTCAGATTTTATGATGAGCTCTCTGACCAGTATGCACACCTAAATAATATATACAGTAGGGCCCCGCTTTACGGCGTTTCGCCTTATGGCGTTCTGCTAATATGGTAATGTCAAAGTATGACCAAATTTGCTATACAGCAAGCGGTCTTTCAAATACGGCACCCCCACCTGGTTTGTTTACATTCTCCATGACCACATCTATTATATCAGGAAACTTTCCAAAATTTCAAGTGTTTTAAAGTTACTGTGTATTTTATATGTACTCTGATAATTATACTTATGGTGTACCTGTACCTAAATATACTTACACACTGTGCTGGTGTGCAGGTACACATTAAAATCGCTAAGAGTCTCTCTACTTCTGACGCCAATACTACGTAATAATAATCACTCTTGGGTACACTAAATGTCTTATTTTACATTAATATAGGCATTTTCATGAATCCATCTATGATATTTTCCTCAAAATTATATATATGAAACCTGTTACATAGCATATAAACAAGATACATACACTCAGAATAAAAATTGACGTAAATATGAGATTTGTTTACAAAGCAGCTGTGTAGGGAGTGTCGGAAGAATTACATTTTCTCTAGTCAAACTGGGGGATAACTGTAGAAAAATATTCTTTTTGTATGCCTTCACTCTATATATAGCAATTCACGACCCTTGTGGATTTAGTGCTTTTTATTATGATAATAATAATAATAATAATATCTTCATTCACTATAAAACTGGTGTGTTGCTGTTTGTTTATTCTGTACTAACTTGTACAACTTGTACACAATGTAAGAGTATTTGTATTGTGAGATAATTATTTTTATAATAAAAAAAAATTGAGGTAAATGTTTTACAAACTCTTACAAACGTACGTGAATGAACTAAAGGACACACATTAATACCCATTTATTTCGCCTGACCAATTGATCACCCAATACCTCTTCAGTTTGTATTCTTACATTGTCTGAACTCTGTATCTCGTTCTCTCTCTCGTTACTCTTTCGTTAACTTGTTGGCTCTAGCTTAGCTGTGATAAAAAGAGGAGTCATAAGCCTCTTGCTTTAAGTGCCAAGTTAGAGGATGAGGGTGTGCCATTCTAATTTTTTTCAATAAACACCCTGCCACTCACCTCTCATATATTAATATTAATATTTTAAGGTAAGTAATAAGTGTACTCTGTGTGTATCTTACCTTTTATTGTGTTTTTAATGCCTATTTATATTGCTAACTTAATATAAGTTAGTGTAAACTTGTCTGGCATTTATTGCATATTTTATATGTGCTCTGATAATAATACTTGCAGAGCTGTGTGGTAGCCGGCCGGAGGGACAACATTACATTTTCTCTGTTCAGCCATCAGAGAAAATGTGTATGAATCTGTGTTTGGCCCAGCCACTCCCCCACTCCGCTTTTGTTTACAATTTTCGGCATGAATTATTCATTACTTCTTCCTTCGTTTATGATGGCATCTAAAGGTAGTTTTTTAGAAACGTTTAAAATTCAGTGAACAAGGTATGTCTATGTTAATAATATGGCTCTGGGCCACAGTGTAGGTAGCCGGTAGGTGTAGCCCAGGCAGGCTACACCTACCAGCTACCTACACTGACTTCCTACAAATAAATACTACTCACCTCTCTTCCACTCTTCCACTCCAAACCAACAGATACAGATACTAATGCCGGAAAAAAAAAACCCCCCCAGTACCAACAATACACCAGTCCGATGACATTCTTCTTCGCAAATATACAGGGTCTAAAGCCAGCTACAAACAACAAAATACCTTTCATCCGTTTACTACTTGCAGAGGCAAAGGCAATGTTCGCGGGCTTTCACTGAGGACCCACATAAAGGATCACTTGGACAACGAAATATGGATCCCAGGTTACAACCTATACAGATGTGACAGAGTGAACAGGCAAAAGGGGGAGGAGTTGGCCTGTACATTGCAGAGTCACTTGTTTGCACAGAACTGCTTAATGCCTCAAATGATGTAGTGGAAGTTTTAGCAGTAAAGGCCGAGAACCAAAACCTAGTCCCTTGTGGTAGTCTACAAGCCTCCGGATGCAACATCCAGCAATTCCAGGAACAGCTGTTAAAAATTGACCACTGTCTGGAAAATCTTCCAGCTCCTGCACCCAACATCTTGCTCCTGGGGGATTTCAACTTAAGGCACCTAAAATGGGAATATAGCAAATAATATTGTTGCAGTAATAACACCAGGAGGCAGCTCTGATGAAAACTCACACTCACACGAGCTTTTAAAATCTTGCACAAAATTCAATTTAAACCAGCAAATAATAGAGCCTACTAGACTGGAGAATACACTAGACCTCATCTTCACTAACAATGATGATCTGATAAGAAATGTCACCATATCAAAAACAATATACTCAGATCACAACATAATTGAGGTTCAGACATGTATGTGTGGAGCCCCAGGACCGATATAATGAGACTAGTCACGAGGGAGCATTCACCAAAATTCAACTTCAATAACAAAAAACATAAAGTGGGACCAGTAAACCAAGTCCTAACCGATATAAGCTGGGGAAGATATACTAAGCAACACAAACCCAACTTATGCCTAGAACGATTAACTTGGTGGCACTCGATGTATGCACAAGGCTTATTCCTCTAAGAAAAAGGAGGAGTAGATGTAAAATAGAAGAGACAGGTACTCCCTTTACAGGCGACGGAAAAAGAATAACAGAGCGGCTAAAAGAGGTCAATATATCTGAAAATGCGTAGGGAGACACTGGTCAGAGAAATAGCAAGCACGAAACTTAAGCTAAAGGAATCTTATAGGAGTCAGGAATCGCGGGAAGAACTAAAAGCCATAAATGAAATCGAAAGAAACCCAAAGTATTTCTTCTCCTATGCCAAATCAAAGTCGAGAACAACGTCCAGTATTGGGCCCCTACTTAAACAAGATGGGTCCTACACAGATGACAGCAAGGAAATGAGTGAGCTACTCAAGTCCCAATATGACTCAGTTTTTAACAAGCCGCTAACCAGACTGAGAGTTGAAGATCAAAATGAATTTTTTATGAGA